GGAAGGTGGACTTGCAACCTATAAACCGTGTCGGACTTTGACTGAAGATCGAATCCAAGCAGTCTATGTACAGCTTCCGGTGCACATACATATCTTGCATTAACGAACTCGTCAATCTCGTTGATCGTTCTGCCTTCTGTCCCATCCATTCTCCGCACCATGCGCAAAGCAGCTCGGTCAGGTCCTTTGTAAACATATTTGTATATGTATTTGACAGCTTGGATCATTTCGCAAATCTCTACGTTCAAATGACCGTTGTAACGAAGCGCCAAATACCTGTTGTATGGCACAACAGATCGGTTATCAAGCGTTTTCCCACCGGAGATGCACGTTCTGCCATCATTCGGTCGACGATACTCCGGATATCCGTCTACCTCTAAACTTGTTGAATCCCGGAACTGCTTCGGGAATCGTTTGGAGCATCTTCCGTCAACCATACACGGCGAATGCGGATTGTCCACCCCACAGGGCCTGTGCATCATACACGTCGTCACAATACTGTGGAGGCGAGGTTCTGTGTTCTGATCAGGAATAACAGCTTGCACGATGGAATCTACATCAGCAATGCTTCGCGGTTTGTCTTCCTCTGCCAATGTGATCAACATGTGACAGTGCGGGAGTCCTCGCTTCTGCCATTCCATCACGGAGATGTACGCACTCACCGCTCCGAATATATGCCTCTTGAATAGATCGCAGTAAAGTTCTTGTAACTTGATGTTAAAAACGCGAGCAACGATGTCCGGCCTGTCGGAAGCGGTCTGTCCAGGGTTCAGTTGCTCGGCGATCTCTCTCCACGTCGGGTTACACGTAAAAGTAATGAAGAGGTCTGGCTTCCCATATTTCGACACTATGGCCATCGCATCTTGATAATTCTGGACCATTGCCCGAGGCGATCCTGGGAATGACGACGGTAGAATCACTCGCCTTATTCCTGGCGGGCCTCCGATGTCGCTGTCACCGGCCACGTAATCAGCTAGCCCACGATAGCTGTCCACTCTGAGTTCCATTTGGTGGGTTCGATCATAGTTCAGTCGGTTCTGCTCGATTTTAACATAGCTGTCCACCAAGAACTGTTGATAAAGCTTGCCCGCAAAGTGGAGTGGGTTGAAGTCATCTCGTACGGCGATCATGCTGGAGTAGTACTCCTTTTGAGTAATTCTGGTTCGCCTTCTTTCCGAGGGATTTTTGAGCATGTTCGGGTGCCAGCCTAGTTCTCCATGCGGGAAAAATATAGGGTATGTGAGGGGATCGCACTCCGGATCTATGACTCTGATGGTCTGCAGCCCCCCTGACCTCAAATGAACTGCAAGACTGTGTTCGGCGGGTACATCCCCGTCGTCTCCAACGTAAATCACAGCCACCTCGTTGGCTACAGGGACGTTGTACCGACGTCGATCCGCGTTGGATGGTGTTTCAAATACCATTCTTACTGGTTTCGCTGATCTCCCTTCCCTTGAAGCTCGCAATTCTTCCTCTATGGCTACTTCGTTCATCATTTTGTATGCCTCGGCAAAGGCGTTGATTCCATGCAGAAGCTCACTTAGGGAATGCATAAGCCGTGGGTCACAGTGTGCATTTGCCGGATTTCCCATCCTTTCTTCTGCTGCCATGGACGTGTCAAGTATGTACACCTGGCCATAGCGGTGAGGTTGACCATTTTCCGGACGGGCAGGTCCGATTCTGTGGTAGATCTGCCCATGGATGCGAAAACAGTACGGGCCATGTCCACGTGGTGTGTCCAGCTGTGCACCCATAGAGGCAAATGCAAACGCGCTATTGTAACTACGAATATGCTCACGGAACTGCTTTGCTTCAGATTCCTGACTTAATAGCAGTTCGCGCAGCTCTGCAGGATAGTTTCTAAAATGCCGCAGACTGATGCTACCGTGATTACAGCAGTCGTTAAAAGTCGCCCTGCCTCTCGATTCCGCTCTAAAATGCTTTGCTCCGCAACTTCCACATGACACATCCATCCGCCCACTATAATGCTCTTCCGGATCTACATCACCCCTAGCCATCCTCCGTGTTCGCAGTGAAATAGCTGTTCTGCGGGCATGATAACGTCCAGCCTCAACACGTCGTCTTCCCTCAGTTTCTGCTGATGTCTCTAGAATCCTCCGCGTGCGCTCCCGTTGAGCGGAGGCAAAGTTGCGTTGTTGCCGCAGCTCCTCATCTTCTCCCTCTCTACGTACCCTGGCTCTGGTAGCATCTTCCGCCCTGCGGGCCTCTCGATTTTCTTCAGTTTCTAGCTGCCTCCGCATTCTCGATCTTTCCGCTTCTTGCGTCAATCTACTGACCCTTTGCTCCTCGTCCTCTGAGCTCCTTCGGGCTCGAGCTCTTGCAGCTAGACTTGCCAGGCGCATTTCTCTGTCTTCATCACCCTCCAGCTCTCTTCGAACCCGAGCTCGTTCAGCAACTTCTGCCAAGCGCACTTCCCTGCGCTCGTCATCCTCCAGCTCTCTTCGAATTCGAGCGCTTTCAGCGAGTCCAGCCAGGCGGACCTCTCTCTGTTCATTATCCTCCAGTTCTCTTCGAATTCGAGCGCTTTCAGCGAGTCCAGCCAGGCGGACCTCTCTCTGTTCATTATCCTCCAGTTCTCTCCGGATTCGAGCGCCTTCAGCAAGACGTGCCAGACGGGCCCCTCTCTGCTCTTCATCCTCCAGTTCTCTTCGGATTCGAGCTTCTTCAGCAAGTCGTGCCAGACGCACCTCTCTCTGCTCATCATCCTCCAGCTCTCTTCGAATTCGAGTGTCTTCAGCAAGTCGTGCCAGACGCACCTCTCTCTGCTCTTCATCCTCCAGCCCTCTTCGGATTCGAGCTTCTTCAGCGAGTCGTGCCAGACGCACCTCTCTCTGCTCTTCATCCTCCA